TGCAATGACCTCGGCCAATTCCTTTAGAACTCTAGGGTGGAGATCATCCGGACCGGCTGACATGAATACGTCCAGTCCCTCCAGAAGCTCCCTAACTAGTTCCTCACTAACCCTTGGCCTAGGTGTGCCTCCCCTGGGGCCCGAGGGGGGCCCAGCAGGGAGGTGGCTGTTCTGGTCCCTACTTAGGAAGACGGAGGCAAAGAAATCATTAAACATGTCTAGTATGTAGTTATAGTTCAACAGTTGTTAGGGTTGGAAGGGACCTCATTGAGTCTGACTCCCTGTCCTGGGCAGGAAAGAGTGCTGGGGTCAGATGTCTGTCCAGTCTCCTTTTAAACACCTCCAAGGAAGGGGACAGCACCACCTCCCTTGGAAGCATATTCCATATCTTGGCAACCCTCACTGTAAAGAATTTTTTCCCGATGTTCAATCCGAATTTACTTTCTTCCAGTTTGTGGCCATTATTTCTAGTTGCCCCAGTGGGCGCCCTGGTAAACATTGTATCCCCTATTTCTTGCTGGCCCCCCCGATGAGTTTGTAGGTAGCCACGAGATCACCTCTCAGCCTTCTCTTGCAGAGTCTGAAGAGTTTCAGGTCTCCCAGTTGCTCCACACAGCCCGTGGTTAGGTGAATAAATCATGCGGAGCTGGAGGTGGGGGTGGAATTTACCATGCATCAGCTGTTTGACAGCAGTCTTTTTGTCTATCCACTCCTGTGCTTTGGTTGGGAAAGCTAAAGCAGAGCAGAATGAAACGTGACTGAGTTACCATGATTTAGCTCATGTCTCTTGTAATATGTGTGGGTTTTGTTTTGGTCTTTAGCATCAACCACAATCTCCACTGCAGGCCTTTCAACCCACAGCTCCAAGGACACCTCAGGTAATGATTAGTAGATGATTTCACATCTTTAATGTCTGTAAACTGCTTTGCAATGGGATTCGGAAAGGGCAACATCGTAACATATGGGACCAATGCAGTAGATAAATTATGCGAAACTCTTGTGATCAGAGCTAAGCCTGTAACTGCAATGTAGAAATGAGGAAAGAGGATGCTATGATGCCAGCATATAAGCACAGGAGTAACTTGGCTCATGCATGTCAGTATTTTGTTCTAGGCTTATGTGTGTTTTGTTGGACCTTAAATGCTTGTTTACGCTCAGGTTTGTGGTATAAAATAGGTTCCCATGTGATTTAAGTTCAAGATATTAGGTAGGTGGGGATAGGACGGGCTGGGGGGAGGTCTATAGGTGTCTGCCGGGCCTTGCTACAAAAATTTCTGGCAGTCAAGATAATTTGTCTATAAGACATCTCATTCTCATTATTTTAATTTCAAACTTAAAACCAGAAATGGCATACACAGTTTTTTATTGATCTGGGTTTTGTCAGTTTGAGAAGTATAGTGTCATGACATAACCAACATCTTCTGTTTCTGCAGATGGAAACAGAAAATGAAATGAAAGCTCTCTCACACTGTGTTATATCCCTGTTCTGGCTGCAGAGAGGCAAGCCTTCATCTTGGCACTCATGGGTTTTTGGTCCTCTGCTCTTCATGGGCTACTTTTTATTTTGAGCATACACATGCCTGCTTTCTTCGCAATGGGCATGACCATGAAGAAGGGAACCTCAGAATGGGACAGATGGTTGTATTTCTTTGAGATTCTAGCCCTGCATTTTAAATGTAACAAATTGCTTTGATCTGGAGAAGCAACATCAAACTGATATGTGATACATGTGGCTTTTTTGAACGTTTCACAATTTGGTCAGCTCAAATGCTACAAATATGCTCTGGGCCATTTGAGGCTTTGTTTGCATATACTGTGCAGTACTTCTTTCCTGTTGCACTTTTGCACCATTTGCTCCCTGATCTAAAATCTGTCTGTTTTCATAAGGGCATCTCAGATAATCAGAGAAGCAAGAGACATGTGGCTGTGAAGAAGGAAAGCACGGTTAGCTGTGCGAAGTGATGTCAGCTCACCTTTTCTCTACTCAGGTGCTTCAACTGCCAGTGGAATCCTCTCTACCAGCGCATCAGCATGGCCTTCTACTGTCAGCAGCTTCCTAGTAAGCACATTCAGAGCGGTGGGGTTGGTAAGTTAGTTGTATTTCTTATGGGGAAATAGAATGTTTTACAAATAAAACTGAATGGATGCAAAGAAGGAAAGAGTTGTTATTCACATGCTTCTGTTTGCCTTTTCCATTTGCCCAGCAGCTTCATATGCCCACAAAACATACTCCAGTGTCAAACCAGTGTGGCTTCAAACTCCAAATCAGCAACCCCTAGAGATGTAAAGAACTCTCTTGTCATTTAATGCATCAATGTAAAATGGTTCAAATTAAGTGGTGACTCCATTGTTCCTCCAGGTCATTTTCTGCAGTGCTATTTTCGGATTGAGAAAACTATTCATAATTAGTATGCCTGAGAAAAAGTGCTGACGACTAACACTTCACTGACAAAGCCTAGGGAACTGATTCTGTTATTCTCATTCCATCTTAGCAAGGGAAAAATCACACCAGCTTCAGCAGGGTCCTTGGAAATTCGTATCCTAAAACTTAAACACAGACCTCTACGGTTCCTGATCCAAGTTTCCAGGTGTAGCAATTCATTGGAAACAGGACCGTATCTCAGACTGGGTGCCTCACCTCTTACATAGTTGAACAAGGACAGAGTGATTGTCAAGATGCATAGATGATTTCAGTCACTGCTGCTAATACACTTCTGTTTTTTGTTTCAACAGAATGCGTCTGCCTCACTCCCTCCCTCATCAGTGGCATACTCCAGTAAGAGAAGGGAATACATTAGAATGGGCATTGGTGCATCAGTTCTAGTCATCCTAGTTGTGGCTATGGGTATCTTTGAATGTGAGTAATTTGCAGAGAGGACCTTATTAGTACTGTTTCTCTAGTTTGCCCACAATCCTGGGCATCACCAGCAGCTGGGGAGTTGTCTCGTTCCCACGCTGCCTGACTCACTTCCTTAGCTGCTCCTGTTAGCTTTTCACACTCCTCCACTCTAGCTCTCACTGGTCATTAAAGAATAGAAATTAAAACCCTTTAAACATAAGAGCAAGAATTCACACTCATGGGTTACCCCCGTGAAAGTGTTGGCTGAGAGCCTCCAAGAGATAGTCCTGGCTGTAATTGCCCCAAACATCTTCAGATCTGAGGCACTTACAGCCAGGACTATCTCTTGGAGGCTCTCAGCCAGCACTTTCATGGGGATAACCCATGGGTGTGAATTTCCCCTGTAATGGTTAAAGGGTTTTAATTTGCTTTTAATCCTCTCCCTTGCTGCTTTTCCTGGTAGTCACTGCTTTTCAGAATATATATTCCGGTAAATATTATACCCTATTTTTATCATTTACAGGGTACATACACTGCAGACGTAGGAGGAGGAAGTTGGCAAGGTAAGAACAAACCCCTTTTGTTTGTCATTGTAAGAAGGCAGTCTAGCTATCCTTTTCTAACTATCAGTACAGGACAGATAGTCCTACAGCATCTCAGACTCCATGTAATTGCCTTTTTATATTGGCAGAGAAAACAGCAAATAAAATGGCAGAAAGGGAAGGGATTTATTAAACAAATCATTACTATTGGTCAGTTAAGGAAAAATATGAACCTAACCATTTATATTACTCTTGGACTACGTATATTTGTATTAATAGGGTTAATAGGTATCTTGTTGTAGTTGCAATGGTTCAAGAAATAAGCAAGAAGGAAAATTTTCTGGGTTACATTTTTTATTTGAGAAGCTTTGTAATTAGAGACAGAGATGTTAGGCAAGTTTTCAGGCACACAGTGTCCTTCAGGTCTGGGAAAGAAGTTCTGTAATGCCAAGCAAGAGACTTTCAGACAGGAAATGCCTAGAAATTCTCAGTTATGATAACTCCTGTTTAGCGAGTGTTGCTATACTTTTTATTTTCCTGGTGGATTCAGCTGCCTGGCCTGCTCTGTTTTTCTTAAGACATTTCTGTTTTGTCTCTGTTCTTCTCTCTACAGCCCAGTCTCATTTAGCAGCTCGGGACAGGGAGAGGTCCAGTTCGTCGTGGAACATGGGATCCATCAAAGAGAAAATATTTATTCAATAAGTTAAAGGGCAGCATGCCTGTCCTCACAAACTGTGTGTGTGAAGGTTTGGGGAATGAGTCTCGAGTCACCACATGATTTTAAGTTTATTTTGTGAGATTTATGACTTGTAAACCTGCTCTGTGGATTAGATGCCCCATTTGGCGTACAACCATCTATTGTGTCCTTTGCTGAGAGCAAATACAAACTAGTCTTTTGGGAGCCTGAAGGGCTGCGTTGAAAGAGCGAAGAAGGAGCATCTTTTTCCTGCTGCAAAAATATGAGGAGTCAGCAAGGTGGCTGCAAGGACAGCTGACTTTGACCAGCTTTACTGGCTCTTGTGAACTGAGGTAGGAGTAGAGCACATGAAGTTCAGCCAGCCTTATGGCACTTGTCCCACCTTCATGGTCAGGGCCAAGTTTGTGCATACAAGACAAGGGAAAGATTTCTCTGGCTAGGGTGAACTATTGTCAGAGGGGAGCTTGCTGCCCGTGAGAGGAGGGAGTTCCCACTTGACCGGAACACAAATGGGGGTTGCTTCAAGTACCAGCTGATCCCTGCAGAGTGAAACTATAACTGGAGTACCCATGTGAATGCAGCTCTGGGAAGACCAGGTGCCAGTCTCTGGGGAGACTCAGCAAGTTCAACACTAATCTGGTCATGGGGCTTGGGCCTGTGGGGTCTTACATCTCATGGCCTGGTGGTAGTTAGGGAGCCTGAACCCCACAAATGCATCTGAGAAGCCAGGACACCACTCAGGCTTGGTGGACTTGAAGTCATGTGGGATCCAAAGATGCATGATACAGCAATTTAATGAATCGCCATAAGTGGGGAAGGCAACACTGGTAGTTGCCTAGAACAATGGCTGTCAATGTATTTTCATTTGCAGGCCCCTAAAAAATTGTAAGTGGAGGTGCAGACCCCTTTGAATTGTAAGTGTGGGTATATTCACATACTTTTCATCGATCAGGACCCCTTAGTCAGTCTGTGAATTCAGACCCCTTAGTTAGACTGTGAGCCCTCAGGTTGGCGGACCACAGGTTGAAAACCACTGGTCTGGAAGTACAAAACTAGCACAAAGTATGCTGCTTCCTGTGCTAGCCTCTGCACTGGCCATGTGTAGGGTGTCTTTGGCACCAGCAAGAAAAAGCATAACCAGCTGGAGGGAGAGAAGCACGCCAAAGTCGGGAGCAAATTGAAAGCCAAAGTTTGAAATATCGTTTCATCAAAGGAAGAAGTCTGACTTCACAGGTGCTGACCAGTTTGCCTGCGTAGCTGATCCCTGGCTCTGAGAACTCGTTCACGTAATCTAGGAGTAAGTGCTGTTCACCTCGGACTGCAAACATCTATTTCTTATGTGGAACATGAGCGAGTGCCAGAATGACTAAGCAACTGAGAAGTGAGCAGTTTCAGTTCATTTTCATATCTACCTTGGTCTCTGCCTTGCTCTGTCCCCTGCTGTGCTGAAGGCATGCGTGGGCATAGTGATGGTCTGGGCTTGACTAGTGTGTGACAGCTGTGATGGCTGAGGGGTTTATTCTTGTGAATATTTCAAGAAACAGAAGCTGTACTGCATTGTGGTTTAAAGCTTCCTTCTTGGCTGGTGATGCTGAGTGCCTGCAAAAAGGCATTGACGTCCCTCAACTCCCAGTTGAGCCAACAGAAGCAGAGAGGGCTCGGCGCTTGGTGCAGGGTCAAGCCTGGAATACATACAGCGCTTACATTATTTTCCCCTCAGTTCAGTGTGACTAAGCACACATTACTCCGGAAACACATGTCAAGTCCTTCCTCCCCCTGTAAAAAAAAACCAAAAACTAAACTAGAACATAGAGGCCACCTAGAACCACATTATGAACAGGAACTGTCATTTGCAGGAGGTAGGATGTTCCAAAAAACACAGCTAACATTATGTGTGTGTGTGTGTCTGTGTCTATCTAGATATATAGATACACCCCATGTGTATGTGTGTGTCTATACACACGCACACACACACACACATGCCCCATGACTATTTTTCCATGTCCTGTAGAGGTTCCATATGTTTCACGATGTCATCTTGGTTCAGTATCCACATCCTTCTCCATGAAAGAACATTTGAGTACTTCTCTCCATTGAGGCTGTGGAAGTTCGATGTACTCGTACCCATCTTGTTATGACTTATCCCCCACAAATACACAGGCAGAAGAAGGAAGGATCTAACTTTAGTTGCAAGCAGATGAAAACACCAGTCACACCTCAAAATTCCTTGAGATTTTTCTGATCATGCATTTTGTTCTGGGGAAATCTTGTAAAGCGTGCACTTTTAAAAAACTTCACCCTCTTTAGCTTGAGCTCAGTGTGTCATTACAGTGACACCAAGTTATAGCTAAAAAAAAATGAATGTATTGCACAAGGAAAATAAAATGGTTTCTGAGCCGACAGACTGCCTGGAACAAGTTCTTGAGTGTGGTGTTTTCCCCACAGAAATCAATGGGAAACTTGCTATGCATTTCAGTTGAAATCAAATCAGACCCTTTACTCTCAAAAATATATCCCAGGGCACTAGCCATGCAAGCTTCCAAATACCAGCTGGCCACATACCTACCCTGCCGTAGTCAGCTGAATCCCTTTGTGCTCATTCACTCCTTGACTGCCTTGCTACAGCTGCAAGGAGAGGGGATGGTCACAATTGTGCTTTGTGCTGAAGCTAAACAATGGTTTGAATGGGTTTAGAGACAATGCTGTTGTTAGACTGTCAGAACAAAGTTTCCTCAGCTGAGGAATCTATTACTTTGCGCCTTCTGTATAAAGCAAGTGTTCAAGCTAGCCTCAGAGTCTAAACATGTTTGTTAATGAGCGTTCGGAGCTGTGACATTTAAGCTTCAAAACCCAAACGGTGTATGTCTACAGATGACAGCAAGGAGCAATGGGCTCCAGTTGCAGCAAGGGAAATTGAGGTCATCTATTAGGATGAATTTTCTCCCGAGGAGGGTGGTGAAGCACTGGAACAGGTTACCCAGAGAAGTGGTGCAGTCTCCATCTTGGAAGGTTTTGAAGACCCAGGTAGACAAAGCCTTGGCTGGGATGATGTAGTTGGGGCTGGTCCTGCCTTGAGCAGGGGGCTGGACTAGATGTGACCTTCCCACCCTCATTGTCTATGATACTCACACTGCCTCATTGAAACCATGAGGCGTTGGTCATGGGTTTCACATCCCCACTCTTGAGTGCTTTGCAGTCAGTCCAGTAAGTTTTAGGAACTTTAAATTCATGGCAGAGGCATGTGAGAAATTGGTGACTTGGTCTTTACAGTAAATTCTGTGGGATGAAAGCCACTAATGCCATTCTTTTGGATAGGATCTTACAATACACTGATCCTCTAGTTACTTAGCTGAAAAGTCACTGTAACTGACCTTCAGCCAAAAGAGATTGAGAAGACAGCAGCACCTGCTTGCAAGACCTGACCAGAGGAAAGCAAAGAAGCTTCCTTCACATCTGGTTGTGGAAATGAAACTGCAACTGGTAAAATACGACTACCTGAGGTCACGATGTTTTGCAGCTTATGCTGCCTATTCAAAGAGGGGAAGCCCTTTCAGTTGTTCTATCTGGTTTCTCACATTTCTGAAAAGTTATGCTGCTCTTAGGTTTGCATCCTGGTCATATTCTGTCAGGGTTTGTTTTTTTTTTATACTGCAATAAGTTCATGACACATTCTCTTTGTGCTCCTTTATTTAGCTTGCTAAGTTCAGCTAAGTTTTTTCTATATTTGCAACGATTGCTCCTTGGCCATCAAGGTTTTGCTTCAGTGAGTGCAGTACTGACCTGAGTTCAGCAGCCAGCATAAGTTAGCACATCACATACTCGGGACTGTTCAGTGCAGTTTCAGAAGCGACGGTGCAGCAGGCTTTAATCACAGCTCTTGAAACGCTGCCCAGCGGTTCGCGTTTTGAGTGGAAGCGCTCGGCACCCTTTCAGCCACGGCTAATTGTTAGTGAAGACCGAATAAACTGTAGTGATGACTTCATACAGGAAAAGTCAATCCTCATTAGTACGAGCACTACACGCTGGGACAAGTGTAGCTGACACCTCCTGTGTGACGCAGGGGAAGTGAAAGTTGAAGTTCATTTTGGAAACAAGTTTAAGTGTCCTTTGGAAGCT